CTTGTTGAAGTGAATAGTTCAAATTGGGCTAAATTAGCTGGTATGTAATACCATGGCAAATCTAAGTACTGATAGTAATGTGCATAGGGATGTTTTACAGATCAGTCAGTGAAACAATTTACGATGCCGGCAATGTTTGTTTTCATCCTCTTGTGTCATTCAAGGGCCAGGTCATCATGTTGGCTTTTTAAGCAAGTAGGATTCTGAATCGGCATCTAAGGTTTTCAAAAGAACAGTCTCCCTAACAAGCAGTGTGTCACATTGAGCAAAAATAGGGGGAAATATCTTAGGGCTCATTCACACTTGTGCATTGTTGCATTGAGTGCGTTAACTGAGGTGTTGGGATGGAGCCCAGGTCTGAGGGCCTTACCCATCTGGGCCAACATGTGCTACTGATTACCTAAGAATGGACCTCACCCCTGCTGATCTGGCTGCTACCAAGGATATCACTATGGACACTGGAGCAGCACATGAACCTCCACTGGTCACCTTACCCAAATTGATCTAGTAGCTAAACAGACATCACTGGGGACAGTGGAGTAACACCTGAACCTCCTCTGGTCTGCTGTTGGAGTAAAAGAAGTGATACTGTTGGCTTTTCCATCCATCCCTAACCCCTTGTTTGAAATAATAAACAATTACAAAGACATTCAAGGACTGGACTGCCATTACTGCAAAATATACAGCAAAGGTAAGATCTATGCCTGGCAACAAGGCTACTGAATAATCCATCATTGACCATTGTGGCAGTGTTTCAGGGCTATTCACAAAAGGGTGAAGAGTTTGGAGAAGGCAGGAGAAGTGAACAATCTAGGACAACATAGCTGAACTGGAAAGTGAGCTGAATTAAAGAATTTTTCTAAATCAGCTATTTTGGCCTAGATTGTTCACTTCTCCTGCCTTCTCCAAACTCTTCACCATTTTGTGAATAACCCTGTTTGTTTCCAACTAGGTCAACTTTTTTTTGTGCTGTGTTTTTTTAGATTGCTTGTTTGTGGGACTGAGGAGCTTTTATACCACTCCTTCAATTTCTTTTCTCTGCTGCAATATATATCTGGTCTACTTTACTGTAAAGCCCTGAAATAATGTGTGAAGTTCTTTGATTTTCTACAGCACAGCACCATTCACTTTGCCTATAGTATTTACACCACCATAAGGAATTGATGTGGCTTAACAATGTGCAAACACAGCAAAAAAAAGTGCTTCCTATTACAAGGGTGTGAAAATAGTTAAGTAAATATGGTGCTCGTTTGGAGATAGAGTATGGGGTCTGCTTATACTTTATTAGCATATGACAGTCAAATAGGAACAGTTGACCTTATGTTTTATAATGAGACAAGAAGAGGAGACATTTTTGAGCTCCCCGTTTCATTACAAGACAGAAGGTCATGTCAGGGTTCCAGGTCTCATTAAAAAGCAAAAAGGTCAACAGCTCTGTGTTGTGTTTATCTATAATCTGAGCAGTTTTCTAGGTAACAGCACCCTGACCATTGTTGTAATCTTAAAAAGTTTTTCCCTGTTTTAACCAGGGATGGGTTTCAATTATATTGCTCATAGGGGTTGATTTACTTTAGGCAAATAAGCTGTTCACTTTACGTACCTTAACTTAGTGATTGTGCTGGAAATGTACTTATATATTCACTTAGAAATTGCAATAATACCCATTCACAAGGAAGGGAAATGTTTGAAAAAACCTTATTTTTGCTTACACAAGATTGGATGATGCAGAGATTCACCTCATTCACTAATCTACGAGAAGATTTCCTTGCAAATCGAACAGCCCATTTGGCTTTAGTAAATCAACCCCATAGAATCAAGAGTTCTTATTCTTAAGTGCAAGTACTTAATGAAGTAACCCATAACACCTAAGATAATGATGTGTCAGTAAAGTACATATACTGGTTCTTTGCAATGTGAAATTTAAGATTTGGTAATTAGAAATAAGAATGCCTTATTAAATAAAGCAGCTAGTTTTCTTTCACTAAGTTAGGTTTTTATCAGTATAGCTTTAAAAAGGAAGTAAAGTCAATCTTTTTTTGGCTTTACTTCTCGTTTGGGTCACAGGAAAATATTTACTAATGTGCTTCTATGACTCAAAGTCACCAGATAGTGGGCTAATATCTGCTGACAGCTCAAAGCGGGGCCACAACTGAGAAGAATCTTAACAATAAGTGACAGATGGGTCTGCCTCCCCAAAGCTCCCTCCCTCCCTGTCTGTTCCTCCAGTGAGTGCTGGAGAAGCACAGAGGGGAGGGGTGAAAAACCTGGCTGACAGTCATTGCTGTCTGCAGGGGGAAGAGACAGTGGGCTGAGTGATCAGAGTTTACATGATCGCTCAGCTCTCAGTATAGAAGTAACGTGTGACAGCTGCAGTGTACCACACAGGTTCTAAGCAACATTGAGAAAACAAAATATCTGAGCAATTACTCCTGATTAGGGGAGCCAGCGTGGCCCCCGAAAAAGTGCTGGTGACGTTCCCCAGACAGATTTGATGTACAAGGCACCATCCATGGTCATTTCAGCACCCATCCTCTCCACTCAAGGGGCATCCAGTAAGGAGTGCAGCATTATCCTCAAGTGATATTTATAAATGTTTACACACAAGATTCACATGACTTTTCATCCAAGATTCCCCCTTTTTTTAATTGGATTGAGTTGAAACAATGTGTGAAAACATGTATAAGCCCGCTATATGCTGCATTAACGCAACAAGTTCTTCTGTGCATTAAGGGCACCTTCATGCAGAGAAAATCATACCTAACTCTTTTTTAAAGCAGTGAACCACGATGCATGGTATGGGCATTGTTCACTGTAGTGTAGGTGTGCTGCCCACAAGTATTAGGGTGCCGTTCAAAAGTTCTTGGGGCATTTTTGTGCATGTAATAAAGAAATAATTTATAGAAAAATGATTGTTTCATTTTAAAGTTAAATATCTTTATTTAGTAATACAGATATTCAGTACGCCTAAGTAACTAATTAAAGTCTATTTTTCATCAGTTTGAAGAATGAAAGATGACTGCTGGTTAGTTGCTGTAGGTTAAAGCAGATTAGCTCTTTGAAGTGGCTGTTTGAAGTGGCAAAATTAACTTGGTTTGGGAGTATACAATCCCTTTCCTGTTCCCAAAAATGTTGTCCATAGTTGATAAATTTAGGGAACTCTTTGCTACCTTTAAGTCTTGGAAAATTAACCCTCAGAGGACACGTTTTACAGTGTAGATAGTACACTTCCCATCCTGTATGCTCCAGGGTACCAGGTACTGCCGTTTGTCCTTCGTAAAGGGCTGTACATTCTTCTCTTCTTTACAGTCATGCCTGTGCAGTCAGATGAGGCAGAAGCAAAGAGTGTAATGCCTAACTCAAATGACTGGTCATTGTGACCAGAATAGAGGGAAAATCCTTTAATGAGGGCACCTGTTAACGTGATAAATATCCAAAGATAATTTCCTGTTGTTTCCCCAGGACAAGAAGTAAAGATAAACCAATATTGGAGTTTTATTAATTCCTCACATGCTTCTTATGTCTTCACATATTTTGGTTTTGTCTATGGGTAGCATTATATAGCCAGGAGTATTATCCTTGCAGGAGACAACTCCAGGTTCTGTATTACAGTTAGAGTTTTACAATCTACATAATTTTTGGCATAAATCACAGATGATTGGGGAGCCTTCAGATTCAACTCAGATATGACATTTTCATAAAAGTATTCAATATCTCAGCAATGTTCCGTTAAAAGCTAAATATCTTAATAGTTAAAGAAACTAAAACTTTTCTTTTAATTTCTGTAGTCTGACTATTATAAATATCATGATTTACTGATGGATTGTTCAGTGAAAGCTTGTCTCTATTGAATTAGTGCTGCTGGCTGTAGCTGAGAAATGATCTATGGAAGACTGGGCAAGAGTCGTACAGGAGCTGACACTCCAAACTTCCCTGGCCTTGCATGTTTTCCAATTTCGCTGGCTAAAAAAATGAGCTGCCATTTTGTATACCCCTGAGGTGGCTGCACTTCTACCTCTGCAATCCCATTTCTTGTTTTCAGTATTCTTTTTGGCTCTGGTATTATTTCCCAGATTAGTAGACAGGGGAAATACAATTTAATGGTGAGTCTCATAGAGGATTCTGGACATACATGAGGGAATGTGATTTAAAATAAATTGAGATTCTTCAGTCCCGACAATATGTCGCCACCCCAAGCCTCGCACACCTGATCATTTGTAGAATTTATGTGTTTAAGTATTTTTTTTTCCTGGAGGGTTACTAGAAAGAGTACAAGAGAAGAAAAACTATCTATTTATTCTGCAGTTCAAACTTATTTATTCAGCATTTTCCTGGTTGTGATTTTGGCATGAATTGGTCCCAGCCCCTTCTGATTTATGAGTCCACTTCTTGTATTTGGCTGGAGATTGATGAAGTCCAAGGGTACTTATGACAGAAAGCATCTGAGTGGGGAAAGAGAGGCTGCTTATATGAATATTTATGGGCTTGCTAATAATGCCCTTATGTCAGAGCGTTGTGTGTTGTGTGTGTGTGTGTGTTTATTTGTATATGTGTGGCTGCACACATTTCTGTTCTCAGTGTGAATGCATTCCACCCACAGGAGGAGGGAAATTTAACCATTGTCTTACCCTTGGTAAAGTCTCTGGCTTTGTTGCGTGATGCACTCAAAGTACTCCAAGGTAGCGTCTGATTAGTTTGCATTTGTTCTAAAGTTTGTGCTCATTGTCTTTACAACTCTATTTAGACATTCTAGGGGCTACACAGTGATGTACACAGAATAAAGAGAATTGTCAGCTTCTCTAATTAAGATAGACGTACCATAAAATTCTCCAGTGGCAAAATGTTTGACTTAGCAAAACGCTTGATACAAAATGGAAGCCAGCAGAATAAAACAGGCAGGAAGATTACATCTTGTACCTAATTACTGTACAAAAGCTCAATGATAATGTGTGTTGCTGTCAGCAAATTCCTCCGTTAACTCTTTTATCTCCTTCTGGTTTCAGGAGATCCTGCCGCTGAAGGATGGTCACAATGGGGTGTTTGTTCCACAACATGCAGTCAGGGTACACAAGTCCGCACCCGCTCTTGTGTGTCATCTCCATATGGGACATTGTGTAGTGGTCCACTGAGGGAGACACGGACCTGCAACAATACAGCCACATGCCCTGGTACACAGAATTTCTACTCTTTTTAGTAATCATTGACGAAATTATTATGTTGTTGTCGAAAACTACAGTTGAAGTTGTGACATATTCTATTTGATCCGGTTCCCATATTTAAGGGGATCTGACATTTGACAATATTGGACAGCATATTTTATTCCTATGCAGAAAAACATTATCCTGATTTCCTGATCCTAATTACTAAATCTGAGTTTAAGTTACATAATAGGGCTTGTGTCTAAGGGCAAATGCAGTGTGCTTTCAGGGTAATTCAGCCAACATTTGACATCAGTTTAAGACACTTATGAGATCATTCAGTTTTCATCAACAGGTACACATTTGACCTGCAGTTGACCTCCTAATCTGCATTTGACCCCCCTGCAGATTTGACGTGAACAAAAATCCATTGACACTGGTCCTAAACAGACAACAAAAAAAGCTTTAATCCATTCCTTACTAATTTGTTTTCTTTTAAGAATGGTAAAGAAAACAATGATGTATCAGGCCTGTGCATCAGTATTGGAAATAAACTGTCATACCATAGGTGACACAGTATCTGGTCTCCCTGGTGGGAGCTTCCCCCTTCAGTACTGAATTTTGTTTGTAAGAGGACAATAGCAGTCCCTACCTTTACCTCTGTGCTTGCACTCGGTGGACTATCATTATTCTGCATGGTTGTTCACTGTTTCCAGCAGTGAACACAGTGATCTGCAGTTTACCATTACGTTGCCAGATATTGTGCTACGATTGGTGGGGTGGTGGGATTACATCCAATAAAACATTTTTTATTGGAAAACAGTCCCAGATTTTTAATAAACTATCAGTATTTAATAAATCTGCTTTTCCCACTGCAAAAGAACAGGCAGTAAATATTGGTACCAGGAACCATTTCCAAAATACTGCTATGAGGAAGGGGTATGTGTGGACTTGGAGTAACTTGAAAATATTATTGGTCAGGTAAGGCTAATATTTTCGAGTGTAAAGTGTTAAAGATAAAACTAGCGGCACCTGAAAAAGCATTTAAGATCTTTAGAAGTCAGTGGAAAAAAAGGTATGCAGATTGATAGCTGGATGGATTGAGGGAGTTGTATAATTGCTCAGGTGATTATAATATGCTTTTAGATAAATTGATTTGTTCATGTAATTGCACAAATTTATATCTTACATTGAACATGTACACTCTAAAGTTCTAATGCTTTTAGTTCATTGTTTGTATTTCCCTTCCTCTTCAAACATTTTGATCACAAAGAATGATCTTTTTCACAGAAGTGGATTAAAATAGCAGGAAACAAAAAAAATCCCTTAAAATTTCGATTAGGCTTTCCAATAATACAAAATATGAACGCGTTAGGCTTTTTTCTTATTTTACCTTCTTGCAGCACGTCTTGCATATCATTCCTAGCACATAAAGATTATATGCACCAAGTCTTGTCATCTTCCTCCAGTGAGTTCATGGACATGCAGTGATGCTAAAACGGCTTTCTATGTCAGAATGTGCAGTAGAGGACATATAGATCTGGTGTGGATATAAGGAACATAAAACAATCCCAGATTTACCTTGGGCTTCTTTCATCTGGTGTGCTTCATATTGGACCTAGAAAAAGAAAGAACTCAATAACAATCATTGTGAGAGTAGAATTTACCCTAGATACCTCAGCTGTAGCATGGGAACATGGGCTCACATGTAAAAAAACAAACAGAAATACCTTCATATACTCCATATAAACTAATATTGTGTATTTAAACTGCACATATTTATGTGAAATTATCATATTTCCCTGCACATTACCTGCAGTTGAGTGTTAGAATGCCTTCTCTGGCTGTTTTTGGCAACACAAAATCAGTAGTAGACCCTATGTAAAATAGAGTTGTATATTTGAAACAGTTTAATATTCATAGACAGGGGAAGGTGGATTAACTGTTTAAGAGTCACAAACATTTAAAATGAACTCCAGGCTCAGTAAATATTGTCTGAATACAAGAACCATGTGTATTCTTACTCTTGGTGTCCTTTGTGTATTCTTCCAAATATGTGCAGTAATCCATCATGAAACAACTCCTGCACTTTGCCTCTGTACAGGAACATCCTGTAATAAAGACCAGTAATTGCACTTCGCTCCATTTGTGCAAGGTGGCCAGTCTTGTATCTTCCTCCTCCAGTAGTTTTCTGCAGGTAGCATGTAGTGGGACAACCTACCGAGTACAAGCTGCAGTTTTTCTCTATGAGCAGGCTACATGCAGCACAATGATGATGTCACTGCTACTTTCACAAGGCAATGTGTGAATTTTCAAAGCTATTTAGTGCACACAAAGTGGGTTTATAGCCTTTGTGATTAATGAAAAATATAATTGAATACAAGTTTTTTTGCCTGGAGTTTAGCCTTAAGTAGCCTCTGAGTGTATTAGACTTGCATCATCTTTTAGAATGTGGAGCTGAGCCTTTTTAAAGAGTTGCAGGCTTAGAATATGAAGATTAGAGATGAGCTTAGGGTTGCTGCAGACCCAGTTATCCTGTGTTTGCCCAAGCTCACTCAAAACTGTGACTGCCACTCAGCAGTCCTGACCCAATCAATGGCAGCAGTTGTGGGGTGGATATTTTCTGCCCCTTTGTGATGTATAGCTGCAGGGTGGTGAATGCACCTCTCTGCAACTGATTGGGTCGGGAGGAGGGTATACAAGTTACAGTTTTGAGTGGGCACCAAACCCAATGAAGACTTAAGGTAATATATGAGAAACAGCAATGGAACCAAGGATTTCCCAATATGTGTACAATAACAAATAATTCCAGGCCATGTAAGTGTTTAATAGTGCTCAGGAGTTGACACCTGCACAGCCCAGCAGTCACAAGTAAATTGCTTGCCTAGCTTGTAAATACTGGGAATACTTAATTTATTATCAGCATCTGTCTTTGTTATATATACACAGAGAGAAGGAGAAAGAGATTGATATTTTCTCTAAATGAAAAGTAATTAAAGCCATGCATTACTGTAGGTTTTAACCCTTCTTCCACACCTTCCATGCGCTACACAATTTTCTCTACTCACACGTGATAGTGCCATGCAAGCATTCCTTTGTAAGATAACAGCTTAACACCAAAGATGCCATTTTGAAGTACTGCATATGTGAGATAAAAACTGACATTCACATCACTGCTTCAATTAAGGGTGTGATCATGCAGAAGTAATGTGCAGCCAAGTAGCACACTGTATAAACATGTGCCACCCACTCCGCACGCAATGTAAAATAAAAAATTTTTGCATATCTGTCAAACACACATATACACACATGCACTGTTAGGGTGAAGAACTAAACCAACATTTGACGGACTGTAAGGCATAGTTTCTATATTCATAACTGGAGTGAATTTATATACTACCCCTATCATGTAATGCTACACTGAGTGCACATATTATGGCCACTGTCAAAATCAGATAGAGCTGGTTAGTGAACCAATACTCCCACTGAAGGGTTTAGTATCCGTATACATTATATCAAATTGATAAGCAGCAAATATTGTAAGGTTTGGGCTGGAAGATTCAATGCCAAATAATTACTTAAAAGAACATATTTAAATATGTTTTCAGGTCGACCTATTATGTCATATTTCCTAAGTATATCTGATAAGCAAATTTAAATATGGATTACGTCCATTGTATGCATATGCCCCTCTTGGGATGGAGCTAAACATGCGATTCTAACAACTTGTGTGTATGAGATTTAACCCTTCTTTCATAACTGGTTCATATGCAGTACATTGATTCAGCTGAGGCAGCTGTCAACGGAGGGTAAAATCTCTTGTTAATAAACGATTAAAACCTCAGATGTAGCATCAGTCTAACAAGGCTCTATTGCCTGGCATCTTTAACGAATACAACAGCTTGGCTCGTCTCTCAGTATCATAAGGATGTCTCCTGTGAAATAATGTGGATCTCTTTGATTTATGTGAAAATTCACCCTCAATCCATTTCTTTTTATGGGCTCCCGTATGACTTTCCAAACTTGCCCACACTAATGTTTGACCTTAATCTGTATATTGTCTCCTTAGGTACTTAAACACATTTATCATGTCGGACTTTATGTGCAGTGGAAAACTCTCAAAAGTGTATCTGGGGCACCATTGCAGGTGACTAACCCTTTCTGTGCTATGTAATTCTACATGGCCCTGAAACACTTTAGGTAATAACATAATGCAAAGAGAATGAAAGGGTGTAAAGCACATCAACCAGTCTTAACTCATCTTCTACGAGTTTTGAGGCGCTCTAAAGAGATCTGATTTCTGATTGGTTTGGGGCTACTACAGATTACTGCTCTTTTTACTAAATATGTAATTCCACACATATACTGTATATCTAAATATGTTATTGAAGCTAAGCCCTCCTTACCATCTTGTCTTAATTTATATTGTAACTGTAATGTTTTCCCTATATTGTAAAACATTGCGCAAACTGTTGGCGCTATATAAATCCTGAATAATAATAATAATAGCTAATAAGAGACTGCAATTTAAGGGAAATATATTGTACAAAACATCTCTCATTTAACCTAACTTGGTAATCCTTTATTTCTCCAAAATAAGTGAATGCTATAGTGCTAATCCTATTAAAATCAGCTTAACTGTTAAGGGTGTCTTTACAATAATGTACCTTGCAATGTGACACAGTCTGTATAAAGTGACAGCTTAAAAAAAAGCAAAAAACAGCATGTTGAAAAAGAACATACGGAGTGGGACAAATACATTTTAACTCTGTTGTCACAATCTCTGTCTTTCTATCATTACTGCCTAATTCAGAGGCCAAGCATCTTGGTCTCTAGACATTGAATTCCATCATTTGTATCAGGATTCTTAGATCAGAGGAGCAGCACAGGGCAATGAATTCCTTACGTAGCAGTCAAAAAGGGTTAAGAGCCACTGTTCCAGAACCCTGACCCCATCTATCACTGGCTACCTATGTGCCCATGATTAATTCATCTCATTCACTTGAAAGGTTGCTTCCTCCTTCTGTCCTTGTCAAGGGATGTCCCCACTGAGGGTGGAAGATTTCTCGCTTTAGGATGTTTTTATGAGGTTCCACTTAGAGGATGTGATTGCACACTAAATATTATTTATTGTGTGTGGCTTTTGTGCATTTATTTCCAGTGGGAGGGAGACACAGCTGGCTTGTTTGTCTGAGACAGCTAAATTCACTCAGCGTTTCTCTTTCTCTCTCTTTCTGTTCAGTGGAGGGGATATGGCTGGACTGGGGCCCTTGGGGAAGATGTTCAGTGACGTGTTCCAATGGGACCCAACAAAGAAGTAGAAAGTGCAGCAACACAAGTCAAGCTGGAGGAGAGTGTAAGGGACAGCAAACGGACACAAAGGAGTGCAATAATCCAGAATGTGCAGGTAATCAAGGCCTTTGGAACAAGGCAGTCTTGCTGCTGAAAAACTGCTACTTGCTAAAAAAGAAAGACATGGCTGAGCTTATTCAAGAATATGAATTTTAATTCCTAAATGTTTATGCAGAATTGCGTAAAAAATCATATGTGCTCCCTTATCTACATGTCTTTACTTCAATAGAATCGGACCCTTATGATTGCCACGTGCATAGCAATGTTATAACAATTTCAACCAGCTTTAAATAACTGAATCAAAACAACCTACCAAAATCAGTGCCAATCAAAACCATGATAATAATGAAACTGTCTCTAGTTGGTCACCTTGTTCCATTTTGTCATGTGACTGGAAGCTAGTTAGAAGTCATTGAAATTGCTTGAAAATTGCAGTTTTTATGGCCAGCATTGAGCTGAAAGTCAGGGGTTAGAGGTCACCTGATGGTTGATGCCCTGCCAGCTACAAAGCCATGTAGATGTTTAGATTCCTCTTTACAAAGGGGATCTATTGAACACAGTCATGTGCTCTCAGTAGCGGGTCAGCAGGTGTCAATCTTCTGCTGACATCTGACTCCTGACTATGAAGTTCAAAAGACAGACTCAGAAGAATTAAAGTGTATGTCCAGCCAAAACCTTTTTTTAGTTTTGGGTAAAGTTGGGCAGATTAAGAACCCCTGTCGAGAGATTCCCTGTCTGTCTAATTGATGTTTTAATCAGACAGGAAGTGAGGGGAACTCTCGGACAGCAATTCAGAAAAAAATAAAAATGTAGGAAAAGGCAGGAAAACCTGCTGTATTTTTATATCTGTCTGTGTCATCATTACTTTCTGCAGGCCTGTGTCTGTTGTATTAGAAAATATGGTACATGCATGAATCTATAACCAGCCTTTATAGCAGGGCTTACAAGAATACAAAACACAAAAATTCCCCAGCCTCAACCTGCCGGCCAGCCTGCAACCAAACAAATTGCCCTGTCAACAGTATGCGTTAAAATCAGAGGTTTTAGTTGCACAAACTTTTGGCCAAAAATATGTAGAAGCCACACTGCTGCGCCAAGGCACCTCTGCAAAGTGTGGTCCTAACTCTATGTATCCGAGTCTCCAAGTGTGAGCATATTAAGCGTGCATTTTTGGTTGCTGGGCCTCCAGTGCGTCCCTGCACCCTATTAGGAGGAGTTGGCTACCTCCAGGTACACCTGCATATAATTTATCGACTGCATTAATATGCTCACACTTGGAGACTGGGATACATAGAGTTAGGACCACACTTTGCAGAGGTGCCTTGGCGCGGCAGTGTGGCTTCTACATATTTTTGGCCAAAAGTTTGTGCAACTAAAACCTCTGATTTTAACGCATACTGTTGACAGGGCAATTTGTTTGGTTGCAGGCTGGCTGGCAGGTTGAGGCTGGGGGAATTTTTGTGTTTTGTACTGTGTCTGTTGTATGCAAGACAAGAAGTGAGGATACATTTACCTAACAAAGCTCCAGATAGCAGTAAAAACCACAATCTAATTTTACTTTAAAATTAAGCTAAACAGAGAGGAAAATGTAAAATCTTCCAACATTCACTTGTAATAATTTTAAGATAATTGTTGCTCACTTTTGCTTTCAAAACCTGCAGACAGATAGGTGGCTGTACTCAAAGTCAGATACCTCATGGATATCTTTGAGAGCTCTAAAACCCAGTAAGCTCTAATATGAAATAATGACTTGTGTTCCTGACATTGTTCAAGACCTTGCTTCACTATCGGTGCTTGAACGAAAGGGTGGGACCAAGCACACCTTTAGGAACGGAAGTTGCTGTGTGCACATTCGTATATCTGGGACTTAGCATATAGGCACCTATTGGTGCTTAATCTGCATATAATCTTCTAGTTTAGGAGAGATAGGGTAAAAACAGGTTTATTTTAAGACTGAATCTTCATATTCTTACATAAGCCCAGACCTGCCTGTTTTTTCTTTTTTTAATGTGGATGCAGTCCTTGATATCTTGTCTGTTAAGGTTTTAGGGAGGCAGAAATGCAGCACTCTATGGCCCCAAAGTTCCATTTGGAAGCTTAATAGAACACTTCTGATAGTAGAGTACACATCGTTTGGATGATTTATTTGTTTATGATACCTTTCAATTTGACCGGTAAGCATGCTAAATTACCTGTGTAAGCAGAAGAATCAGATACTGAATTAAGTCAAGCTTACATGTGAAATTTTAATCGCTTTCTTGCAAGATATGTAACCTCTTGTTGACAGCTGCTCAAATTAAATCAATGTGTTGCAAATGTAATAACTGTCTACAAGGAGTTAAATCTCTTGTTAACAAGTGATTGAAATCTCACTTATAGCCTTAGCTGTAGAATCAGACAGCCCTTAGCAGCATCTCAACCTACTACCTCCTGTTCTTGTCTTCCCCTTCAACCATGTTTTTGACATTCATTTCCCTCCAGTCTTCTGGAGTCCAGCTACACATTAGATAATTGCTTGTGAGCATGAGATTTGACTCCTAATTGGCAACTGCCTTGTTTGAAATGCAAATACATTGATTCGAAGCCAAACTCCAGCAAAAATATTTCATTTGAGATAGGGTGGGGAAAGGTTATAGCCTTTTTGTTTATTTTCATTGAGAGCAATATTCCCCTCACTTCCTCAGCCAGTAACAGGGTGTCAGAGGGAATGGAAGCAATTGGAAGGCTACTAATAATAGTAATAATGTTCAACTGTACTTGTTCTGTAATGTTGAAAAGTTCTTCTCTGCTTATCCAAAACCATTGCTTCGGTGGGGATGAGCTAAGGGGCAGGATGCAATTACATCACTGACCTTACAGGTGAAACTCGAATAATTAGAATATCGTGCAAAGTTCATTTATTTCACTAATGCAACTTAAAAGGTGAAACTAAAATATGAGATAGACTCATTACATGCAAAGCAAGATAATTCAAGCCGTGATTTGTCATAATTGTGATGATTATGGCTTACAGCTCATGAAAACCCCAAGAACCCCAAATCCACAACCTCAAAAAAGTAGATTATTACATGCAATCAATAAAACAAGGATTGTACATAGAACAATATCAGACCTCTGAAAAGTACAAGCATGCATATGTACTCAGTACTTGGTTTGGGCCCCTTTTGCAGCACTTACTGCAATTACTTTTGCACGATATTCTAATTATTCGAGTTTCACCTGTATATGTCACCCTGTCTCACCATTCTCTTACTTCTTGTTCTGGGGTTACTTGGGGACGCAGTTAGAAGAAATATCCTGGAGACACAAACGGCAATAAAAATCTGCAAGCGATTCCAACGTTCCCCCATATTCTAATTGGTAATTGAAATCATATATATATTTTGGTCTAACATTAGATTTTAATCACTGGTTAATTCAAAAGTACCGCTTTGATAATACTTCCCTAATTGTAGTACATTGATTTCACTTGAGGCAGTTGTCATTAGGTGGTGAACCTCTTGCTGACGAGTGATAAGTCTCCACCCATATTATTACTGTTTTGGCTCTTAAAAATCATCCTGTTTCCAGATAGAGATGTCACCCTCATTCTCTCTCTCTCTCTCTCTCTCTCTCTCCTCTCTCTCTCCTCTCTCTCTCCTCTCTCTCTCTCTTCCTTGAAGTTCATATTTCCTATACTGTATAATTTATTATTGTAAAGAGACAAAAAAATCATCACCTTTGCAGTTAATCTTTACTATCTAACTGAATCCTTTATGTAGACAGAGGTTTCCAAAATATGAACTGTCACAGGCATGGTATATAGGAATGCCCCTTTAATGGCATGATAAATGCTAATGGATCTATACAAGCTTTGGGCAAGCCTGTATTTATGTACATAGGCATTCATTTGCTTTCCTTACACATACAATATAAATAAAAAAAAAAGACATGGAAGCAACTCAAAGGAAAATTAGATGGAACACAGAAGAAACTCATAAAAAACTAAGAAGATAGCATAAAGGAAACATGGGCCAGGACTCTGCACAACAAAACTCTAAAGAAGCAGCAACCTGACCCCTGTGTTATTGCCTTATAAGACTTCTTCTTGTAAAACCTACAACAGTTGGATATGAAATTAAAAAGAACCATAGAAAAACATTTTACAGAGAAGACAGTGTGGCCACACATACCTATAACTGTAGGTGGCACCATAGTAAGTGTTCTAGGAGAGCATATGGCGCAAATCTAGCATTACTCCTGCTATTTTGTAGGCTATGTGTCGTTTCTGTAGCTACAACCCCCGTAAGACCCGAGCACTTAGTAAGAAATACAGGTTAGCTTGTGTAACCATAAAGAGCAAGATAGCTGATAAATGCTTATTAAAAGGTTGATGATTTCACTGCCCTGCATTACTTAGGTAGTGCTGTGCTTTAAGAGATTAGTCACAATCACTACCACCTATGTGCTTCTTTTTTCCTTCTCCCACATTTCAGACCATTCAACTCTTTCTTAATACTTAATGGCATTTTCAGTTTTTAGATTGTTTTATATCGTTACGCAAACCTTTAAATTCTTCGCTTATTTCACTTCTTTTTAATTCTCATTACTCCTGCTTTATTCCCGGTTTATGCTCTCCTTTATTCTGTATTCTGTTTACACATTTTGCTACTTTTCTTTAATTTCTTCCCTCTTACCTTTTCTAACTTTCCTCTGCCCTGTCCTCTCTTGATATCCTTCTGTGATCCCGATCCTGTTTACACTTTCCTCTGCTTCCTGCCCCCTTCACATTATCTAGCTGATGGAAAATGGGGCCCGTGGAATCATTGGAGCTTGTGCTCCAAGACATGTGACAGTGGCTGGCAGCGTCGCTACCGGATGTGTCAGGGAACAGGATTGCAAGGATACCCGTGCGAGGGCTCCGGGGACGAGGTCAGGACGTGCAATGAAAAGAAGTGCCCAGGTACCCACTCTCTGCATCTGCTGTATGTGCTGAGCAGACATGCCCATTCTGTAGAGGTTAGGAGTTGCATTGCAAGATGTCCTCTGTGTGATTCACACAGACGACATCACACACTCGGATATGTGCACATGTAATGAAATACAAAGAGAACTGATGTGTAGTTATCCTGAGCAATCAATCCAGTAGCATCAAATGCCTGTTTTCAATAATGTGCTTGGTCACCGCACATCACTACTCTTTGCCCGTGTTGCAATATAATGCTTATTGTATAACCATGTAAGATAAGTTATTAGAAACAGGTAGCCCTACTTGATTAAATATGTAGTAACATAGACATGAAACATATCATGACCATTCATTTCACTTTAATTAGCATATTAGCTGTAATCAACCATGATCTATATTTTTCTTAAACTGCATAATAGCTAAAGTATAAAATATTAATGTTTAGCATACTTTCTTGTCTGAAACTAAAAAAACTGACATTTGTCTTGTCATTTATATGGAGGTTTCTGGTACCATTACAGCTTTTCTCAACCAGGGTTCTGTGGGACCCTGGGGTTCCTTCAAAGGTTACTGGGGGTTTCTTGGCCAATTAGCATTATCTGCCACTCAGACTAGTAACCCCTGACACTATCTTTTTAGCTATCTGTAAGGGGGGCATTCTTCCCACTGGCCTATACTGTAAGGGTTCATCTTTCCACTGGCCACATATATAAAAAGCATTTGTCCCATTAACCACCAGTGTAATGGGGCCCATCTCTCACTGACTACCAGTGTGACGGGGTCGTTCTTCAAATGACTACCAATTAAAGGGGATCCTTCTCCCACTGAATACCAATGTTAGGGATCCTTCCCCCCACTGACCAGCAATCTAAGAGATCCTCCTTCACTGACCAGTGACCACCAGTGTCAGGGGCCACTTCATTAATCTCTAATGTCCACTGACTACAAATCTGGGGGAATACTACAATTTTAATTGTCTGGTTTCTTTTCTTGCCATTAATATGTTTTATTTCATTATTATTTCTAAAAATAATTGTGTGATATAGCGAAGCCATGTCAAATATGCAAAGTATGCCACATTTGTGATTTTTTTAAATGTATTTTTATTTCCACAGGTTAGGGCTCAGTCAGACTTCCCCCTTCCTGTACTTCACCATAACACTCTAATGCACATAAGGTGTGTTAGCATGTGCTACCGCAACGCACCTGAGGGTGTGTTTCATCCCTTACTGTTCATATGTCATGAAGTATAGATATAATAAATATTAACAGGGTCTCCCTGAGACCTAAAAGTTATTTCAAGGGTTCTTGTGTTATAAAAAAAATTGAGAGAGGCTGATTACAGTGATTGTCTAGGGTGCCGCTATATCAGACCACAGTTAACGTTATCGTATCTTTTCCCATGATTATCAATGTTATTTCAAATAATGGTTACAGTTGATGTTTTCACTATTTATAATTGTGCAGAGTAGTACCTGCAGTGGTATGCATTAAGGTGTACACTTTTTTAGGTTTGTTTTTAAATATAAGAATGTCCTTTGTTTAGGAAATTAATTTAGGTGCACTGGTGCTTTAAAAATTGTGCTCTTTCTATTTAGTGGTTCATAACTGCTCGCTGCAATTTATTTCATTACAATGTGCAATGAAGTGCAGTTACCCATGGCAACTAACTGAAAATCAACCGCCTGCAGTTTGAGTGGTCATACCAGTAAAAGTTGGTTTCCACTAGATTGCTATGGATGACTGCTTATTGCGTATTTACGATCCTAGTGTTTTACTTTTATTTACTGAAAAATATTAGTGCTTTATATGTTACCACGTTTATTAAAATTCCAGCATGGATTATTTAGGATTTCTTATCTGCACCTCCTACTTTCCCCGGTCTTGCTTTCAATCCTCTCCTGACTGAACCTTCTGTCCTCTATCACCTTTGTTGTCTGCACCTGTGCATATCCACTGTCCTCTATGCATCAGGCCTCCTACACCTCTTTTTGCTCTCCACGCTTTTGTTCAGTCACTGTTTCTTTACTCCTCTTTTGTGCTCCTTTCATCCTCTCAGCGTGCCTGCTTTCTCTCTGTGGGCTCTTGCTGACAGGCTAGCAAGTGTACAATAAGGGAATAGCAATGAGTGTTCATGTTTCTTAGGAAGGTCACAGTGTGCTTTTTACACATATTAAAGAAGGCTAGATTCTCTGCATAGCCTCCCCTATGTCAAATACAAGGTGTATAACATGATTGGAAGCTGTGAGATCTTGTCTTCCAGGCTAACGATAAATGCGAATTCACGTTGGGTTGGGCTGGCAGCTTCTGGCTGACATAGTATTGGGTTATTTCATGTTGCTGCTTCCCTTCCTCACAGCGTTACATGAGATGTGCAAAGATGAATATGTCATGTCCATGACCTGGAAGAAAGCAGCCGCAGGCGAAATTGTTTACAACAAATGTCCTCCGAATGCCACAGGTCAGTTTCTCTTGATCATTGTAGGTCTTTTTTATTATCGTCATGCTTATTTAGCTGATCTGTCTACCATTTTTATTTACTATATTTGTCACTCTCATATTTTTTTCCTCATTAATTCTTTACCTTTCTTATTCTTTGTTGCATATGCTGAACTTTATGTTTTTACCTTTACATTTTTTTTTTGCCTATCACAGTTGTTTCAGCTTTGAGTATATGTTCTTCTCTCTTGGCTCACTCAACAATGTTTGTATTTCTGCAGGTTCGGCAAGCCGCCGGTGTCTACTAAGTCCTCAGGGGGTGGCTTACTGGAGTTCGCCAAGTTTTGCCCGCTGCGTTTCCAATGACTACAAATACCTTCACATTGCAGTAATTACTAGTTTTTCTTCTTACTTTTGTGCTAACTCTGTTATTGCTTATTTATAAGGTATCAGAATATGCACTCATAGAAGAACTAATGTTTGTTTGATCTTGTTGTTGAATTTTAGTGTATTTTATGCCTTGAAATGCTTAAAGTAGACCTTATTTTTGCTGAGAAAAACGTAATTTGTCATAATGTAGGCATTTTAGCATGTTTTATTACAGTCCTACCTGCATTGTATTGGACATTTTACATATTTTACTACTATTTCTCACTTCCTCCAGCCACCTCCCACTTTCCAAATAAGAATGTATTGTTACTATATTCACATAATTATTCCCAGTGTATTCATAAGAGAAAAACTTCTAGAGACAGCAGTGAGCCAATCATATGTGCAAGAAAACGATTCTAGGAAAGTTGTGCACACCATCAGAACTTACCCATACAAGGAAGCCATGTTTAAAATATTTTGTCAGTTTTAGAAAATTATAGCTAATTGCAGGTTGTATATTTTTAATAACACTAAATGACAAAAGGTTTGTGTAGCATTTATATATGTTAAACCAATGTTTAAACAAAAGTGTATTTACCCTATAAGTGTTTTCATCTTAGTGGGTTATAGCAGAATCCTGTGGTATACTTTCAATTATATTTAAGATTATGCATCATTTAGCATTTGTTTTAGGTGGGAGAGCATTTATTTTGAATAATATATATACAATATTTAGCTGCATTGCTATACATAAGATTAAAGAAAGTAGAATGTGTTTTTAAAAACATATGTCAAATCTTTCCCCTCCCCACCAACACTACTTTTACTGGCACAGCAAAGGTAAAGAAATCAACATTTCTAAAATGTAAATTTAATTCATTTATTGTATTTAATGTAAAACAAAGTTAAGGACCTAATCTACCTACTCTTAAGGGCCTACTACACAAACTGAGCTCTATGGGCATAGATGAAATGGTGTGTACATGGACAGAAAACTGGCTACATGAACGCGTCCAGAGGGTATCGATAAACGGCTCCCTTTCAAAGTGGTCTAAGGTTGGGAGTTACGTGCCTCAGGGTTCGGTGCTAGGCCCCATATTATTCAACCTCTTTATTAATGACATCGGGTAAGGCGGGAAAAGTAGACATGTGCGATTCGGTTAGTTCCGAAACTCGTTTCGGACGAATTTTCGGAAATTCGGATGCATCCGAATTCCGAATTACAGCTAAGACGAATGCAAACGCATCCGAATTCCCGAAATTCGTTAGCGGTAGTCCGGCCAAAATTCTTTCATGGACGAATTTCGTTATTGGACGAATTTCGTTGCAGCAAAATGACATTAGGAAAAAAAAAATGACATTTTTTTTACAGTCTGCAGATGATGGGGAAAAAAAAGCGTGGGGTTCCCCCCAAAATCCATACCATTTTAAAGGGGAACCCCAGCCCCAAAAAATGGGGGGGGGGAAACCCTTGATCACTGGCCCGGCAGGGCCGGAAAGGGGGGGGGGGATCGAGGGCCCCCCCCCTCCCTGCGCCTTACCAGGCTACAGAGGACAAGGGCCTCTTCCCCACAACCCTGACCCGGTGGTTGTGGGGGTCTGCGGGCAAGGGGGCTTATTTGCATCGTCCGAAACGAATTTAATTTCGGACCCGAATCCGAAAAACTAAATAATGCAAATTCCGAATCAAAACGAAACTAAACTAAACAAATTTTTTTTTGTTTCAAAACAAAACTATTTTTTTGCTGGTGCACATGTCTAGTGAATAGCCATGTTTCTGTGTTTGCTGATGTTACTAAAATTGGGAGGGTAAATGACACGGACATAGATACTATAACATTACAGGAGGACCTGGATAAAATAGGGGAGTGGGAAACTATTTGGCAGATGAGGTTTAATGTTGATACATTTAAAGTGATGCATTTTGGGGTTAAAAATAGGCAAGAGGAATACACATCAATGGGTACTCCACTAGGGAAGTCAGAAATGGAAAAAGATCTGGGGGGTCATTGTAGACCACAGATTGAATAATAGCTTGCAATGCCAGGCTGCTGCAAACAAGCGAGCAGAGTACTGTCATGTATTAAAAAGGGAATGTTCTGTAGAGACAAATCTATAATTTTGCCACTTTATAGATCGCTGGTTCGACCTCATCTGGAGTATGCGGTCCAGTTTTGGTCACCAATCCACAGGAAGGATGTTCTTGAGCTGGAGAGAGTCTAGAGAAGAGCAACTAAACTAATTAAGGGGATGGATGACCAAAGCTATGAGACAAGTTTACTAAATTTAAACATGTTCACGTTGGAAGTGAGGAGATTAAGGGGGGACATGATTTTGATGTGCAAAATGTTCAATGGTGATAGCAACATCAGCAATAAACTTTTTACAGTAAACTCCATTACAAAGACTAGAGGCCACCACCTAAAATTGATGGAGAAAAGATTTAACCACAAGTGGCCTCTTCACAGTTAGAGCGGTTAGGGTCTGGAACTCGCTGCCATAAGCAGTGGTATCAGCTGAGAGTGTGGAAACATTCAAAATGCATTTGGACAATTTCCTTCAGAGACCGTTACATACAGGGGTATAGGTAGCTGTAAATAAAATTAAAAAAGGATCACACAAGGACCATACACACCCATACGCATGCAAATCACATACATACACGCAATAATAGGTTGAACTTGATGGACCTGTGTCTTTATTTAACCTCAAATACTATGTAATTATTTAATCATTATTATGCTTTTTAAAGTTGATGATCAACATTTTTCACCTGTAATATTTTCAAGCACAGTTTTGGTTCAGTGAAAGCATCGTTTTAGGACATCTCTCACTGCAACTTATGAAAACGCATCTAAACTTCTGCAAGTAGCTCTCCGCAAGGACAACTCAAAATGGATGTTCTATTACCACCAGAAAGCAGGGGTTTTAATATGCTTTCTTAATAACGTATTTACAATAGATCCTTTCTCACATTTATCAAATATCTTATCAAATAATACTGTATGCGTGTTTCCTTCTCATTAGGCTAATCTATATTTATATTTTTTACATGTTTGGGGAAGTTAACCCAGTGGTGTAGGAACAGGAGTTGCAGAGGTCCTGAATTGACAAAAGCCTACACTGCAACCCTTTGTTCCTACTGCATGCCACTGACCACCATCTGTAGGCTACACAGACAATTACTCTGTTCCATGGCACAGATTCTCCTTGTTTTTTTCAAAGCTATCATTTGGCAACCATAGAAACAAGATGTGAATCTTTCTATGGTTGTGTTATGAAGACTGAAAAGAAAAAGTCCAATATGAGCAATTGTGGTTAGCATAATTCTGGACTGCACCATACTTGACTTAGGATACTAGGACAGCTGTGAGAAAACCTTAGCTAACCTGTTTTTTGGCAGCTGTTAAACTGCATGTAAGCCAAAACTTTTTTAGTTTTAATTAGACAACAGAAAAATAAAAAAAATATGAGGCTATTTATTGCAATCTGTGTCATGCAGGGAAGATTCCCCTTTACTTGCTGGCCTGGAGACACAACAGGAAATGAAAGAAAATCTCTCAAAAGTGAATAGAATTTCCTTCTAAGAGAGTTGTCGCAGGAGCAGGTGTTCCCACTGGAGGATTTTCACTCATCTTACTCTGGTGACAGCTATAAAACTATTGGATATCCCTTCTCTTTCTGTCTCTCTGTAGAGTGGACTCTAAAAACATTTTTGGGGTGCTGGAAAAAAAGAGTGATATAAAAAGTGAATACAGCTCTAACTATTATTGTTATCTCAAATATTGCGTCAGACGAACAGGCTGTATCTGTACTTACATATGCGAACTGATATTAATGTATGTGGAGGATATGTCCATCTCCATGCTGACCTTTTGCATGCATATCTCTAAGTATGGGCATACCTTCAGACCTCATTGGTTGTCTGATTGCTGCCGTCTTATTTAAACAGAAAACTTTGGTTTTCTTGAAAAAACCCTTTGCTGAGGCTTTCCTATCCATGTGTGTTGTAGGAAGTGGAGAATTCAGGCTTGCAAGATGTCTTTTATATCAAAAGGAACTTTATTTAGTAAGCATAAAATACTGTCATGTTTTATGGTTCCTAATAAAGTTCCTTTTGATCTAAAAGACATTTTGCAACCCTGAATTCTCCACTTCCCACAACACACATCACTAGGAGTGCTTCGGCAATGTTTTTTTATTTCAACAAAACCACATTTCCCCACTTTCTGTCTTGGTGACAGTGATTATTAGGACAAATAGAGGGGTAAATCACCCCATTGGGGATACAGTCTATCCCTTCCCTACTCTATCCAAAAAACAATTGTCTTTTTTCACGTTATTGCTCATGTGTGTTTCACCACACTATGAAGGCTTTCTGACATTTTCCCCTCTGTGATGAGAGTATGCAGGTTTATTATTTTTGAATAATTCCTTGCAGCCAGTCACTGTTCAAGGAGCCACAGGAACCATAAAAAGGAAATGCGCTGCCTCATCCTGACTTAGTTTGCCTGTCTGTCTCCTACTGGAACATTGCGGATGATGCTGTGTTCTCTTAGTTTGACTGGCCATCAAAAAATGTCAGATAGGTTACTGCTGGTACCTTCTTGGGCCAGTCACCATCAGAATCAATGTAGAGTTGTTAAATAGCTTTAAGCATGAAAGTGAGCCCTCAGTGAAAAAAAGACGTGAGAGACATTGTTGCAATGTAGCCTCTTCTACACAGATTGATAGACACCAGTAAGGTTTTAAAACAGTAGATCAAGTCTAACATTGGGTTTCTTCTTTTTCTCACTACTAAAAGAACACAAAACTGAAGTAGCAATAACTGTCAATAAGAGGAGGTAGAGAGGATGCAATGGCAGAGGTGGGGTAGAACCCTATAAAGAACTCTGTTGCTCAATCAAGTTCTTGACAGTTAGCTTGTAATTAAAGCATTTTACCTGTGAAAGGTAAAAATAACCAACCAGTGTTGTGATTTAAACACCTTTACCACTCAGACAGAAAATCACTCTT